GTTTATGGAGAGGATGGGACCCCATTAACAAAAATAATTACCATGTCCTTAAAAGCATTTCATTCATTATCTCAGAGTGACTTATTTGTATCTCTGTGCCTGGCTCACTGCCTGGCACAAAGTAGATCAAAGGGCAAAGAAGGAAGGAAGAGGGGGAGGGAGGGAGGCAGGAAGAGAGAAATGAATAAATGACATTAATCCAAGCATTTTCCCCTTCTCTTTATGTTTTTTTTCCCCCTCCCACTCACTTGCTCATCTTTTTTTTTTTTGGCTGCATCAGGTCTTAGTTGTGGCATGCGGGGTCTTTTGTTGTGGCACGTGGGTGTCTCTCTAGTTGTGGTGCATGGGCTCAGTAGTTGTGGTGTGCGGGCTTACTTGCCCCACTGCATGTGGGATCTTGGCTCCCTGACCAGGGATGAAACCTGCATCCCCTGCATTGGAAGGCGGATTCTTAACCCCTGGACCACCAGGGAAGTCCCTTCCCCTCTATTTCTCAGTCACCTCTTGCCTGGATTTCTCACACACACTACTCTAGTTCTCTACCCACTTCTCCCTCTCCTCTCCCACTAGATTTGATGACTGTCCCTTCTTGTCTCTGAAGGGCACATTATTGTCTGGTTAAGCTCCTCGGCTAGATGCTTCACCTTGCAGTTCAAAAAATCAAGTTTGTGGCAGATTTTCCCCCAATGTTCTAATTCATTAACTGCATTTTCTAGGTTTTTGCACTCTCTTTGGCATTTTTTTCTTCTTTTTTTTTAACTTCAAAGGGCTAGTGAGTGACAGTGTTTCCAAATACTGGTTGAGAGGTGCTCTCTCTGTGATCTCTTCCATTTTAAGTGTTTCAACCATCACCTCTAAATGCCCACTCTGGTCCAGCCTTTACACAACCAAACAGCTCCTCGGATTCTGTCTCTGGCATCTCCCCGGTAAGAAGACAGTGGCCTTTGGCAAGGTCCCATCATTTACGAGATGAGCAAAACCTAGGCAAGTCAGCTACCTTATTCCGCATTCATCAGATGGAACTCTAACTAATACTCATCTCCCAGAGGTTGTGTAGGTCAAATGAGAAAAATATATGAGAAATCTATCAAGTGCTAGTTTTCGGTTTCCTATCCTTTGCTTTCTGCCACCTAATTCAGGCCTTCATTTCCTCTCAATTCAAAGATGCATTCACCTCTCAACTACTCTCCCTGCCTCTAACCTCTGCTTCCACGTGCAACCTGCTGGATACCCAAGTGCCAGAATGATCTTCTAAGGCTCAGGCTGTGTTGCTTTAAAATGCTCAATAGCTTCCCCTGCCTAAGAGGTAGAGTCCAAACTTCTGAGCATGCATTCTGAAACCCTCCCTGGTCTAAGGTCAGAGCCATGGTTCTCACCTCTCTGCACTTTGTCTCCCAAATGTAACCACCTTCCAACCAACTAGGACTCTTCCCATCCCTCCCTGGTCTGTCTTCACTCACCGAAAGTCTACTTACCCTTCAAGCCCAATTTAAATGAACACACGCCTGGTATACGTTTTCTGAATCCCCACGAAGAATCTTTCCCTGCTGGGACCGGCAGTGTTTGCTTTCTACTTCTATGACGATGTCATCTCCCCTGACAGATTGTAAATGACTTGAAGTCATGGATTGAACCTCTTTATGTACCCATCATCACAGAGCTTAGCACTGTGGTTTACACATAGTAGGTACTCAACAAGTTACATCTAATTATACATTCTTAAAAAAAAATTTTTAATACCCCTAGGTGCCTAGCATTGTGTCAGGTGCTATGGCAGCTATGAAAAGCCTTGCCTTTGTCCCTGACTCAATACAATATTGTTGAGGTTACAAGATTCTTTCAGATAGTTTTCTTATATATAAAAACTATATGAAAGACTCCACGGAGACGATGCTTTGGGAAAGATCTGCAGTGCTCTCCTTACTTCCTGCAAGTAATAAATCCTTCCTTCTCCTGGGGGAAAAAAAACAGAAGAAGGAGGATCTGTGATTACATGCTAAATTCTTAGCCCCACTTAGTGTCTACACAGTTGCATGTAAAGATCTTTGAAAGGCTTTGTGTACACTTTTTAATTTATACTTTGTTTTAGAAATGACAGAAACATAAGAAATTACATCTTGAAATAAATACATTTGCTAAAATTGAGGCTAAATACATTGCACAATTGCTCTCAAAGTATTCTAATTTTAGGTCTTGACACAAGTGAAAAATGTTTACCATGGACAAGAAGACCAATTTCTCTCTGGTTAGCAGAATTTAAGGTCATCAGCTCTAAAAAGAAAGCTCAATCGAAATTTTAATGTATTTTTCAGGTTCCTTCTATTCTATCCACAACCTAAGTTATTAAACTTTTAGAATTATAAAAAAGCACAAAAGGACTCTGATGTTCCAGAAAGCACACACCAAGTGGGTAGGGATTAGGGGTGGGATGAAGAAGTGGCTGGATGAGTGGAAGGACGGGGGAGAGGGAGATGAGAATGCCTCTTGGTGAGTCTTTGAAGTTCACTCTGAGCTCACAGCGCACTCCTGGCTGAAAAGGCTGGCAAACAAAGCTGAGATCCACTGAGTGTCAGCAGATGTGAGGTCAGTGCTCCCAGGCCCAGGTCCTGGACTTTGACCTACAGAAAAGTCTAAGAAGACGTGTGGGTTAACGACTAGAGCACTGAATTAAAAGTCTGTATTTTCTGGGACTTCCCTGGCGGTCCCGTGGTTAAGACTCTGCACATTCCAATGCGGGTGTTGTTGGTTCGATCCCTGGTCAGGGAACTGAGATCCCACATGCCGCGCAGTGTGACAAAAAAAAAAAAAAGTCTGTATTTTCTGACTTCCAAGAGCCTGTGAACAAACAAAACACAAGAGAAAAAAAAAAAAAAAGAAAAAAAAAAGACTGATTTAGCTTCATAGGAGATGGCTGGGGTTCATTCTGGTTTGAGGTCAGAATGCTGGTGTTTCAGACTTGAATTAAAGCAAAAACACATATTTTCAGACGTTTTAAAAAATTACTTCATTCCTGATATAAGCATGAACCTTAAAAGGTACCTTATATTTGCATTTGAATAAGCAGGTACTATCTGACATGCCCCATGGGTGTCAAAATATTTGGTGGGCTCTTGCATAATTATGTTTTGGGTTTATACAAATAAAGTCTTAATCAGTACCACAGAAATTCTGTAGAAATTTCGACTATTCACACTGGATGTTGTTTGTTGATATAAAGGGGACAATTTCAATGTGTTCATCTCGTTGAGTATATACCTGAACACAGAAGCTGCCTTTAATATTGTAGGGTTTGCATCATGTAAACTGTCTCTCCCGTCCTGGCATCAGGGATCTCATGCTGCTATCCCGCTGGCCCCAAGCCTCTTTCCTTCTTGCCATCCGTAATTCTCTCAAGTACGTGTTTCAAATAAGTTCAGTGCCCAGATACTTTGCAATTATTTCTTTTCTTATTGTACCATCACATAACCGAACCTCCAAACACCTCACTTCAGTGACTTCTGTTAGCTACTGCAGGACAGACAGCAACCTGACACCCCAAATTAAAGGAATTCATGCCAGGGTGTGAACCAAAGATCAAATGTCCCATCTCTTCCTCTCCCTTAGTCTCGGCACCAGCATATCTGTAACTCTCCCAGACACCCACTGTTTAAATAGGCGAATGAATGAATCCCTGAAATCCGGAAAGGGAACTAGGCAATTAGTGGAAGGTGAGGCACGGTGATGAGAAGGAAAATTCTGGGCACTGGGTGGGGTGGGAAGCTTTCCTGATACCCTTGAATCACACTGCTTGCGCTGGGGCTTCTCCATGTTGGTCTCACCCAGTCGCAAGTGTCCAGCGAGAATATTGATTCTGGAGAGGGTTTTAAGGGGGGGGTGGTAGATTAAAGGGGAAAACCCCCCCCCCCCCAAAGTGCAGTGCTCTTTTATGTCGAATGCCTGAAGCGCTCAGAACACTTTATAATTGTGATCCTATTGAATGCATTTAGAACAATTAAGTCCCTTTTATAATGAAAATCAACGATCAATGGGCATTAAATTTATCCACTCTCTATATACTGCAGTAGTTTTTTTTTTTTTCCGGTACGCGGCCCTTTCACTGTTGTGGCCTCTCCCGTTGCGGAGCACAGGCTCCGGACACGCAGGCTCAGCGGCCATGGCTCACGGGCCCAGCCGCTCGGCGGCATGTGGGATCTTCCCGGACCGGGGAACGAACCCGTGTCCCATGCATCGGCAGGCGGACTCTCAACCACGGTGCCACCAGGGAAGCCCCTGCAGTAGTTTTTAATCTGCAATGAGGTGGTCTCTGCAAATGGGTCCCTAACTTCTGTTTTTACCTTTTCTGTCTCTAATCTGCTTATAACATCTGTCATTTTTATTCTTCCTCCAAAGGGTAGAGCCTGCTTCTCTCTCTCTTTTCTCTCCCTCTCTGAGGTGTGAATCGTGTTTATTTTCGCCTCAGAGCTGATGGACAGTTTCTGAGCGATAATCCCGTTCTCCACTCTGCTATTTCCGTTGAGAACTACCCTAGCGCTCACAGCCAGGCTGAAAGACGTGTTCGTTCGCATTTTGAAGTTCCCAAAGTGGACCTGGCGCTCTTCTTGGCTGCTGTCGGCACGGCTGGACATTGCCATTTACTGAGAAGGCCAGCGCGCCCCGGAGCGAACTAGTGCCTCCAGAGCCCCGCCTCCTCCCACCTCGGTCAGCGCGGACGCCGCCAGGTGGATCCTGGCCTCCGGGGACGGTGACCGCCGGCGGGATCACCAGCACGGCCAAACCTCCCCGACGTCCTGCCCGCCCCGAGGGGGAGGCTCTGTACCCCGACTCCCCGCACTAGCCCGCCTCGTCGAGTGGCGTCTGAGGTGACCGGGAGGGGCGGGGGCAGCGCGGCGGGGAGGGGAAGTGGGCGGGGCGCCGCCGGGAAGGGGGCGGGCCGCGGAGCCTGGGCCCCAGGCGGTTGCGGCGGCGGCGGCGGCGGTGGAGGCGCAGGGCTTGAGGGCTAGCGGTCTGGCCGGGCGGGATGAGCGGGCCCGGGGCAGCTGGCTCGGTGCGCGGGCTGCGGGTGGACGGGCTGCCCCCGCTACCCAAGAGCCTGAGCGGGCTGCTGCACTCGGCATCGGGCGGCGGCGCGTCGGGGGGCTGGAGGCACCTGGAGCGGCTGTACGCGCAGAAGTCGCGCATCCAGGACGAGCTGAGCCGCGGGGGCGCTGGCGGCGGCGGGGCGCGGGCCGCGGCGCTGCCCGCCAAGCCTCCCAATCTGGACGCCGCGCTGGCCCTGCTGCGCAAGGAGATGGTAAGGGAGGTCCGCGGGCTGGGGCGGGGGTCCTTCCCCTCCCGGCTCGCCGTCCCGGGAAAGTTCGCCGGAAGTCCCCGCGACACCCGCCCGTCTCCGGCTCTTTTGCCCCAAGCGCCGGCGCCGAAAGAGGGACACTGTCCGCTCTGTGCCCGCGACTGGACCCTCGCCCTGGGAGGGCACCCCTCTCAAAAGGCAGCTTTTTGGACACCGGGCTCCCCTAGTCCGGCCCCAGCTGGCTTAGAGACCCGGGAGGCGCGGCGTGGGGCTGGCGCTTGGCCTAGGGCCGGGGGCGGCTGGTCACCCCTCCCCAGAGGGCAGCAGACCTCCCGGGTCGGGGAGCGGCCATCGCTGCGCGCGAGGGCTTGAGAGCTGTGTGCGATTGTGTTCTCCTGCCCTGAAGAGGAACAGCTTTTTGTCCTTGCGAGTGTAGACGGCAGATGGGAACAGCCCTCGCCCCTCCCCCGCGCCCGAGGCGGCGCGTGCAGAATTGGATTACGGCGGAGCGGCTCCGGCCCACAGATGGCCGTGAAAGCCACCGCTCGACCTGGCCGTGTCCGCGCAGTACGGCGACACCCCGAGCCCGCTCGGGAGGAGTGGGGCGGTGGCATCCTCGCCGTCTGGGTGAAGCCCGTGCAGGTTCTTCAGGTTGTGTCCGGGCCCTAAACAATGGGGCTTAGTTTTTCGCAGTCGTTGGGAAGTATGTTAGGTGTTTGTGGACCAGGACGCACGACTTAGGGTGACGCCAGAAGCAGCTCAAGGACAGGGATTTGGGTGGCAGGGAGCCTTTCTCCAGCCTTCTCCAGGCTTAGGCCAGCCTAGAAGAGAACAGAAGAACTTCCTCCTTCTAACCCTCCTGCGGGGCCCCTGAGCACCTTCCCCTGGCCACCCTCTCTCTTTTTAGAATTTGCCCATTCCTTTTACCTAGTGCAGGTTTTCCCCCTCTTCTGGCACAGGTAAATACTTTATTAAGGAAATCTGATATCTGAAAACTGCTTTTTCCCCAAGAATAAATGTACCAAAAAATTTATAATAGGAATCCTTTAAATATGCATCGAGTGCATTAAGATATTTAGAAAAATTCAATTTATGCATTTTTTCAGGAGCATATCTGTTCTGAAAACTAAGAATTAAATCTAGAAAAACAGCATTAACACCTTTTAATCAATTAGATATTGTCTTCCCACTCCATGGCTGCCACTGAAGTGATTTCCAGTTCTCTACAAAAAGATTTTTCTAAGCTTCTTACAGAATGACTTAAATTCCAAGCCAACTGTTCTAAATTTATTAATAAACATTAATCGACACCAGCATTGCACAGCTGGTAAGCTGTGTTTCAATTAGACAAATGTACACCGAGTATGTTTACAGCCTGAACTTGGATGCAGCATAAATAACGGGGGTGGAATAGGAAGACCCATCCTGGTTAAGTTACCAGAACAGAGACAGGAAAACCTCAGAGAGGTTTTTTTCCTGTTGTGAAGCTCTCTCTGCTTTGTGAAAGTGCTTTGGAGTCTCACACACTCCCAAGTGGGAGTAAACATGCCCTTCCCGAAAGTGTTTTTCCAGGTCCCTCCTGGTGCAACTGAAGTATAGCCACAGCCTTCTCATCATGCCTTGGACCAGAGCTCTCTCAAAGCCTAACTATCTGAAACACAAGGAAAATAAACAGCCATCTTAGGTCTGTCTGATGTTTAGCTGAGATAAAGACAAAGTATGGCTACAGGCCTTGACAGGTCCCTTCCAAGAAACGTCACAAGGTCTTTCGAAGTCCTCTGGTTTTTTGACTTTTTGAGATTTACTAACCTAGGGCCGTGGGGTCTGAGTGGCCACCTCAAACTGAGGCTCCCACTGGGGGGCCTTGCGAGACCAGGACGGAGAGTTCGTGCCTGAATTATCTGCCTAGTAGTTTGTGTTGATCTGTTGACTCTGAAGGCCTGAGGTCAGATCTGTGTCAAGGGACCTAACCAGAAGTCCTGGCAGAATGAAATTAGCTCCTTTTGAAACAGTCCTGCGCCAGCACAGAAAGAGGCCAGCTTCCAGCAGCAGTAGTGTGAAGGCATCAGGAGGTGGCTGCATTTTAAGAAGAGAGAGGGTGATAGGAGTCTAGCAGCACAGCCGGCCCGAAGGGCGCTCCCATCGGAATAACGCAGGAGTGGACACTGCAGCTGCGAGGGGCCGGGGGCCGGGGCCGGGTGGGTTGCGGAAAGCCTCAAGTAGCAAAGGAAGGGGTTGAGCCGGAGAGCTGGCTTAGAAGCGTTGATGTGATAGCAGGGGGCTGAGGAGGGAGAGCTGGGCCCGGCAGACGCTAGAGGTATGGTCGGGGCAGGTGAGAGCCTCCGGCAGCATGGGGACCCGGGAATGGGAAACAAGAATCAAATGGGGGCTACTTCTCTGAAACAGAATCTGCAGGAATTGCTGATACAATGTTAGGAGCTAGGGACAGTGATGCTGAGGAACCAGAGATGACTTAAGTGTTTTAATGGAAAGTGCAGCTAAGCAAAACGATGAAAAATTACAGTCCTAGCAACTGGAGATAGTCACTGTTAATATCTGGGTATATCTCCCAATAGGCACAATGTAAATGCTTTCCTTACATCGTCTTATTTGAATTTTATAACTTCTCCACAAGATACGTACTGAAAGTCTCTAGTTTTAAAAATATGACTCAGAATTTAAGTAACTCACCTAAGGGGGACAAACTCAACCAGATGTGTCCAGCTCCAAGACCCTGTTTAATCACTGCATTTTACTGCTTTTGGGGGGCACATATTACAAATATTTTCTAGGTCAATGTATACTATAATGTCTTCCCTCACTCCATAGTGTGCCATTATATGGCAGTAATAACCTTGATTATCCATCATGGGGAAAGTGGGGTTCATCACAGCACTAGGGGCGTCAGGAGGAGTGGCTGCTTATGGGGGAAGGTGGTTTGCCATTATTACATCAGCGGAAGAGTATGTTAAACATTTCAGAATGTGGAGCTGGAGGCTGGCAGAGTCTGGCCTAGAGATAACTGATTGATGCACGGTGAGGGCAGGACCTGGGGAAGCTGGTGTCCAGGGGCGCCCGTGTGGGCAGAGGTTCTGTCCCATGACTGGCGATGCCCTGCTCTGCTCTGAGAGTGCTGGTTTCCTGTCCTCATAACAGGGTAACTCTGAAGTTCTGTGCTCCTGTGACTTCCCTTCCCCTCCCCTAGCGAGCTCATTTGGAGAGCTGCGAGGGTCACACAGATGCTTATTTGCTCTTTAGACCTGAAAAAGTCCTTTAAAACAAGAAGCTGAGATTGTTTTTTGTTTGTTTGTTTTCCAACATCAGAGAATAGTTTTGGATCATATTCAACAGATGTTGACCAGGTGTCTGCTAGTTATAAAGTGTTGTGGAGGACACAGAGGTGAATAGGAAGTATCTAGGTGTTAAGAAGCTTATAACATCTGGTAGAGGTGGGCCTCTTTGCAGCAATATGATTGCTGTAGTTTAGACCACTTGTCATTTTTTCATGTCTGAAGACTGTGTATTAGTAATAGAGACTCAGTTTGAACCAACTCTTGCAAAAGGAGAACCTTGTAGGGCTGCATGTGTACAGAGACAGACTAGAACCAGGGTTGATGGGGAACCCAGGAAGGCCACTGTATTCTCCTTTCCCCTCCTTTTTATGTAAAAAAAATTTTTCCCTACATTTTGGAATGTGGCTGCCGAAAGTGTCCACACTCCCAGGTTCAGCCATGCTTCGTTTTTAAAAATATTTATTTATTTATTCGGTTGCGCCGGGTCTTAGTTGCAAATACAGGGCTCCTTAGTTGCGGCTCGCCGGCTCCTTAGTTGTGGCATGCAGGCTCCTTAGTTGCAGCCTGCTGGATCCTTAGTTGCGGCTCGCCGGCTCCTTAGTTGTGGCACATGGGCTCCTTAGTTTTGGCATGCAAACTCTTTGTTGTGGCATGCATGCTGGAATCTAGTTCCCCGCCCAGGGATCGAACCCGGGCCCCCTGCACTGGGAGTGCAGAGTCTTGTCCACTGCACCACCAGGGAAGTCCGTCAGCTATGCTTCTCGCTGCCACTTTGAAAATACTGTGTGGAAGGATGCCAGTGGGTCCAGCTTGGTGGTGTCTGGCCAGCTTGGGCCACCTATCGGTGACCGAGGGCAGGATGGTATTTTACTACGATGGTATGACCACGTGGATGGGGTTCGGGGCTGGGCATCCCTCAAAGAAAGAACAATTTTCAGAAATGGAGCAGGGGGCAGCTGTTGGACAGCCAAAATACTAGATGTCTACCGCAGACCTTTTTCTGGGTAAGAATACTCTGCCCTCAAGGGCCCCATAGTTTCAAAGATTTTTATCTGCCACGCTGACAGGCTAGCTTGGCTCAGAAGATCTTGGTTGGCGTTTCAAATCCTTGCGTGTGGCTGAAGGACACAGGCGACTCTCAGGGTCCCCAGGGACCTGGCACACACCTTTCTCTGCAGGGTTCTTCAGAGGCCACTGGCCAGCAGCCCTGTGGGGTTAGTGCATCAAGCTTAGGTCCTCAAAAGCGTCCCACGGAAGCGGAGAGACACAGCGAGAGCCTCAGCCGTGGGGCTGGGAGATGGCCGTGTCTCTCCTCGGAGACACGGGGTCCGTGTCTTCTTGGGTTCCACTCCTCAAACCAGCAGCACGTTCTAGTAGCTTTGAAGACTCTTGGCCTCATTTTTTTCTTTTTTTCTTCGAACTGTCCAACAGTTGCTTTGGTCACCCACTTGTGCGTGAGTGGGTAGTCACCCGCGCAGAACTTTCGAGTTCCAGGGCTGTGGTGGTTTGGGTGAAGAATTTAATCTGAGAAAAAGGATTTGATTCCTGAGGGCAGCAACACTTATCTTTCCCGCATTTCAGTTGGGATGGCAGCTAAAGGCCTAACGAGCTTGTCCAGTGAGCGGTATTCTAGGAGACAGGCACGAGCTTGAGTAGTCCAAATCCCCGCAGCATTCAGTCCTTGTCCTACACACGAAACTAGGGTCTCAG